TGTTTCTTTCCCCATAAGTGTGATTTTCACTTAACATAATAAAATATAACTTGTATCAACCGCCAGTTTAAGGTAATATTGTGTAATTACTTAACATAAGATGTTGCATATGGATTGAAAAATAGGAAATCTACCATAATGAAACGAAAAATAGTTAAGAATTGGAGCCTAAGAGTTCGGAATCTATCTTATCAAAACTAGCCAAATGAATTGGTTGTCGTTCTCACATCATTGTCTTGAAGTCCATCGGTCGAAACTGACCCTTAAAAGTTCGATCTTAGACATCCCTTTGGATCTCTACGTGATATTCTTGCAAAAAATTATGAGGAACTTTTTCCTTTGTTTTCTCGCTTGGTCGCTATGGGGAATATTGTTTCTTTTATGAGGAACATGTATGCATAGATTATATAATATATAATCCGAAATATTTTCATATTCCTACTGAGTAATGAAATACTTCTACATAATGGTTTACATTTGTTGTATAACTTTGTCGTTTTCCTCCCTCGCAAACCTCTGTTATTAAGCAAGTATATGCCCAAGGCAATAATGCCTTTTGACTATAGGATGAATACTTTATAGCAATCGTACTCTTGGTAGATTTATTTGCTTTTTTAGGGAAGCTATTCATTGCATAGCCCCCCTGCTTTTATATTACGGCCGTACAAATATCACATTCCATGTAATTCCTTTTTTTTTTTTTTTTTATCCCAGCACGTGCGTATACTATTTTCTGCACATGGAGAAACAGTTATTTGCGTGTTCATTAATTTGTTTTATATGCAGATTATCCGGGAAAGGAAAGAAATCAAGCCGATCCCCTAATTACATAGAAGATTTGGAAAAGTGAGTTGCTTGCCACTTGTCACAGTTCAATATTTCGAGACATTTCATTTTTCTTTTTCTTTCTCTTTGTTCTTTTTTCATTTTTCCGTTTTTGGCAGTTGGTTTATATATATAATTGAGTTTACTGGCAGATCTCTGACTTCTCAAGTACGACGAAAGAGAACTCCACGAACAAATCCGAACAAAAAGCTGAAAATCCCAGATATTGCCCACCCTGAATCGGACCCCATGTCTCATTCTGACGATTCAGTCTCAGGTGAATGATCCAAGACAATTCATTAACTTCTATATCCAAAAACGAGCAGAAACTATAGTAGCTAGTTTTTGTGCCTCAATTCTCTTTAAATGGTGGTGTGCCCATTTTCCGAAAAAGAGATGTATCTGTAGTCAACTATAAAAAAAAAGCGGAAAGTTGCTAACATTTTTCCTATTTTGGACCGTTTAACCAAACAATAACAATGTTTTCATAATCATCTCTCAACTTTACTCATGTTTTTTGCTGGCAATAGAGAAGGAAGAGAACAAAAAAGTCAAGAAGATGATGGAGCTATTAGACAAGGAAGACGATCCTGCTGAGGTGGACGTGAATGAAGGAGAAGATTTAGAAGAGACAGAGAGTGAAAATCTTGGCGGCTCGTTCGATGAAGCTAATGGATCATCTGATAATGAAGCAATTTCATATTCAGACAAGAAGCCGTCGAGTGAGAACAATGAAGAAATTGAAGGGGAGAGTGACAGAAAGGCTTCTAGCTCTGATACTGCAGATGTGGAGTTTTCAGATGACGAGCCTCTGGTGATTATTTTAAGCATTTTGCACGTATACCCTTGAGGTTTGACTTGGTTACAAAAATGGCCGAGCTGCTAATTCAGAAATTGCCAAAAATAAAATAAAAATCCGTATGTTAAGAATAACCCCTCCTGGAGGCCTTTAATTCCGATAAATGAAGAGTGGAGTTATTGGTAATTTTGGAAGATACCTGAGTGTTTTTTGTGATTAGGCTGAACCTCTGGTGGCATTGGTAACTTTGAGGACGCAGTGACGATTGTTTTCTCTCTCTCTCTCTCTCTCTCTCTCTCTCTCTCTCTCTCTCTCTCTTTTTTTGAAATAATTTTTTCCTCTTTTTTGTGTTGCAGATTGTGTGGAAGCAGCGGTCTGGGAAAAAGCACAGGAAGTAGATATTTGCCCCCTGCTGTAAATGTGACCGAACCATTGTGAAATTACTGAAGCCAAACTATAGCTCATTAAAAGTCAAAAAACCCGAATCTGAACTGCTGCTGACCAGAATAAAGAAAACAAAAAAAACATAGAATTTCATTTACTTTGCTGTAGACTGTAGCGCTTTATAGAAAATGCCTTAGGAAAAAGATTTCTGCATTTGTATAGTCGTCTGAGGAGTTTTATCTGCAGTTGGTTATAGAAAAATGCGTGCATTTGTATGTGTAGAGCCGACGTAAGCACTGAGACTCATTGTGTACAGCTCAAAACTTTTGCCGTTTTCTGCTGGTCGACTGGAGTTTGTAGCATTATAATGGTTCTTGATTCTTAAATGTAGATTTATTGGAGTTTGTAGGAATATATATGGTTTTATTGATTTTTTTGGGTTCTTAAATGTAGATTTCTTGGTTTATGAATGGTCAATTTTTGGTGTGTTTAGTTTGACAAGTGAGACCAAATTGGCTTATCTGTTATCTGTTATTATAATGAATGTCATGTTTTTATCTCATTTTTAATACATATTTGTATTTTCATGTTCAAATGTCATGGTTTGAAAAGTAATAATTATATGGTTCTTGACACTTAAATGTTGATTCCTTGGAGTTTGTAGGTGTATATGGTTCGTGATTTTTTTTTTTTATTTAATTTTTTTTTTGGTTTCCAAGGTTTGGCACTATGTTTCGGTAGGGTCAAAATGGGCTGTGTGCAATGGATGGACAACGGGTTTCGGCAAAGACGCATGGGTCCCCGGTGTTGGCAGGCTATGCGACGCCGCTCTCTTCTCAGTCCCGTCGAAAGATATGGGGCTACCGGTAAAAGCTTTTGCCTCCGAAAACCATGAATGGAAATGGCATCGTTTTGAGCACCTGCTACCTTCATCGGCCCTTCTAAAAATCGCAGCAATACCGGCGCCTCGTCCGGACCTAGGAAGTGATCGAATTTATTGGGCGGCCTCGGGAATTGGCAAGTTAACAATTAGCTCGGCGTACTGTTTATTCACTGAAGGAGAAGAGAGTGATGTCCGGGGGCCGTGGAAAGACGTCTGGAGATGGCTCGGCCGACAGCGCATTCGACACTTCATTTGGCTTGTTTTTCAGGGTCGCCTAATGACGAATGTGGGGCGAGCGCAGAGACCTTTATCCTTGATGGTGTGCTGTCATAAATTCCAGACTCGAGAAGAAACCCTCTTACATGTCGTCGGGGACTGCCCGGATGCTACCCAGGTCTTGCTCCGCCTAGTTCCGGTGGATGCGCAACCGGATTATGTTTGGCTATAGATGAAGGCCTGGCTTACGTCCAACCTTTTAAATCGGCCCTATACCATAGTGGACACTGATAACTGGGAGTGTACTTTTGGCGTAATTCTATGGTGGTGAAATATTTTTATTTTTCAAAGCCTTAGGTTAGATGCTTTTGGGTAAGTAAATGAAATCCGAGCTTTCGTTAACAGTGTGTTACACTTTCCCGATGAAGTAGAGAAGATTGGCAACAGGGACTGCTCGTGTCCAGCTCCTTGTCCGATGGAACCGGTGCCGGTTTCATGGATAAAGGTAAACTCCGACGGAACCCATAATAGGCCCTCAGGTATGGCCTCTTAGGGAGGGTTGCTTCGTGACTCCCATGGCAAATGGCTCGGTGGCTTCCTAATGAATTTTGGGGAATGCTTTATAACTGGAGCAGAATTATGAGGATCATTCCTGGGTTTGAACTTAGCATAGAGCTTGGGGTACCGTCGGGTAGTTGCTAAAGTCAACAATTCCATTGTCGTGGAATTTGCTAATAATACAGAGGATATAGAAGGGGTCCATTCTGGTTTGGTAATAGGGATAAGAGAGCTCTTAAGTCAGGATTGGCAGGTGAAGATTTCTCACATCTTTCGTGAGGCGAACTTTGTTGCGGCCTACCTAGCGTCTTATGTGGCTTCGGTCTCCCTCGGGTGCCATCGGCTTCCAAACTCACCTTCATGTGTCGTTCGGTGGTTGAGCACGATGTAAGAGGTGTTTCTTGCTCACGAAATGTTTGTCCCTAATCGCTCGTGAACACCAATCTCTTTGTACAAAAAAAA